GCGCGCGCGTCGCGTCACCGGCGTCACCGGCGTCGCCCCGCGCGTCGTCATCGTCATCGCCATCGATCGACCACCGATCGCGCGCGCTCAAGCGCTCCGTCGATCAAACCGACCGCGCGCCCGCGTCGCGGTCGCGGTCGCGATCGGTGCCGACCGCGCGTCGAGCGTTCGACCGTCGAGCGCGCGCGTGTGCGCGCCGTGGTCGATCGATCGCGAGTGGGATGGCGTTTTATAAACCCTCGAAAGCCTTATCCATGCGGGTCGTCCCGCGCGCGGTCCCGCACACGCGCGCGCGCACGATGGCGTCCGTGACCTCCACCGTGCGTGCGCGTCGACGCGATCTCGCGCGCGGGGGCGACGGGCCGGACGTTGGACGATGGACGATCGGACGCGGGGCCGGGACGCGGGACGGGACGACGGAGGGCTGGACCCGGGGACGGATCGATCGAACGACGACGACGACGACGACGACGACGCGAACGATGGAGTGACGATGGACTGACGACGACCGTGGATGATTCGATGACGTAGATGCGCACGGCGCAACACATCAGATGCTCGGCGAAGACGATGGGCGCGTCGAAGCGACGCGCGGCTGCGAAGCCGGTGCGCAGAGACGTCCGCGCGCACGAGTACGGCGCCTCGTCGACGTCCATGTACACGACGACGGAGAAGCAAGAATCGTACCCGAGCCTGGAGAATATTCTTGAAAGACACTGCAAGGATGAGATGCTCCGTAAGGTTATCGTCGAGATGCTCGACTGCTGCGCGGACATCACGGAGGCGTTGCGCTCGGCGCTCGTCACCGTCGAGGGCAGCTCGAACGCGTTCGGCGACTCTCAGTTGTCCGTCGACGTGATCGCGGATAACCTGATGTGGGACTGCGTGAAGAGCTCGGACGTCGTCGCGTACGGCGCCTCCGAAGAAGAGCCGGAGATTGTTGCCTGCAACCCGAACGGCGAGTACACCGTGTGCTGGGATCCGCTCGACGGCTCCTCCATCGTCGACAATAACTGGGCTGTCGGCACCATCATCGGTATCTGGGACTCCAAGTCGGGCACCGGCGCTGACGGCTTGCTCGGCGCCACCGGCCGTGACCAGCGCACGTCTCTCGTCGCGCTCTACGGCCCGCGCACCACGGTCATCGTCGCCCTCGACGACGGCGTGTTCGAGTTCTCCTACGGCTGCACCCCGGAGGGCTGCCAACTTCCGGACGGTAGCTTCGAGCCGTGGATCTGCTCTCGCCTTGACATCAAGATCAAGGAAGACTCCAAGATCTTCTCCCCGGCGAACATGCGCGCCGCGCAAGACACCGAAGGCTACAAGAACCTCCTCGACTACTACATGGACTCCCGCTACACCCTCCGCTACTCCGGTGGCCTCGTTCCGGATGTGTACCAGCAGTTCACCAAGAACCAAGGCGTGTTCTCCAACCCGACATCCGCCAAGTCCCCGGCGAAGCTTCGCCTCGCGTTCGAGGCCGCTCCGTTCGGTCTCTTGGTCGAAAAAGCTGGCGGTAAGACCTCCGACGGTGTCACCGGCGGCTCCATCTTGGACGTCCAAATTAACGCCGTGGACCAACGTTGCGCGCTCTGCATCGGCTCCGCCAACGAAGTCGATCGCTTCAACAAGATCGTGCTCGGTAAGTAAACTCGGTGGTGATTCGGCGAGAAAACTCGTGATGATTTGATTGTTTTAATACACACCTACGGTACCACTCACTACACGTTCCCTACGAGCAATGTCTAAAGATGTCTAAAACTATGATACTGTCACGCGGCGGAGACCAGTTCGCTCACAACGACGTGCGTGGTTCCCGTCGCTCTGGCGATCTGGACGTACTCGCGAAATGCCTTGTTTTCCGCGTCGTCTCCAAATCGCACGTCGCTCGTCTCCATTACGTCTCCCATGAGGCCTCGAAGGAACCGGATGCCCTCCACGGCCTCTTCCCGGGAAGCCTCACCGTGGCCTCCTCGTCCGTTCGCATCGATGATGTTGGCGAGCGCGCACGTGTCGACCTTTCGATCTCGCTGGACCTCGAGCGCCTGTTTGTTCGGACCGCAGTAACGATGCCACCACGGTCGCTTCTTTCGATTCAACAGACGTCGCTTCGACGCGAGAAGAGTCTTGAGATAGTCGCGATCTCGACAACGAAAGTACGGGTTGAGCCTACGCTCGACGCGAAGCGAAGACGGCATGGTGCCCGCGTCTTGATGACGATGCAATCGAATAGCGAAGAAGCAGTTCGCGGTGATTTGATCGTCCACGTCAATCGCCTTGGCAAATCGTAAATTGGTCTCCATGTACTCGTGTCCACTGAATATCAAGCAATCGTCCGGCGTCGGAGCGAGACGGACGTGGAGATTTTCGTAGCAATCGTTTGCGTTTCCGTGAAAAAACGCGCCCACGCCGCCGTTGATTATAGCGTCGCCCGTGAACATCGCCTTCGCGTTCGCGAGCGTCGGCCCATCCGCTCCGTCCTCACGTTCGTCCCCGAGCAAGGCGTACACCACGTGCCCGAGCGTGTGACAAGGCACGTGAATCACTAAAAATCTCAAACGCGCGCCGACGCGCACGACGTCCCCATCCTTCACCTCGCGCGTCGTCCCGTGACACTTATCCATGGCGTGTCCGTAAACCTCGACGTCCACCGATCCGTTCTCCTCCAGCGCCATCATCGCCCGCACTCGAGCGTTCCCACCCGCGTGATCGTGATGCTTGTGCGTCGTCAGCACCGTCGTCAGTTTGGCGCCGCACCTCCGCGCCGCGTCCACCGCCCGCTCCGGATCCGCCGGGTCGATCGCGCACGCCTCCCTCGTGTCCGCGTCGACGACGAGATACGAATAATTATCATTCATGAACGGTATCTGCACCACGACCCCCCCCCCCGCGACCAAAGGCGTGCCAGCCTTCGCGTGCGCCGGCTCGTCCCGAAGCGACTGAATCATTCGCAAGTGCGCCCATCGTCCCACCCTCGACGTGTACGCGACGTACCCGACGTCGAACGCCCTCCGGGACAACCACTCCACCGCGAACGCCGGGACGACGCAGTTGACGATCGAGACCCCCAGCGCGAGCGCCGTCCCGACCGTCTTCAACGCCTGCAACACCACCCCGAGCAAAATTCTCGTCGTAATCATCATCGGCGACGATCGGTATCCATCGTCTTCGTCCTCCGCCGCCGCGAGCGCGCGCGCGTCGAGCGCCGCGTCCTCGTCGTTCGACGCGTCTTCATCGCCCGTGCGAATCGACGCCGAGCGCGCCAGACGCGGTGCGCTCGCGGGTCCACGCGACCGACGCGACGCATCCATCGTCCACGCGCGCGTCGACGAGTGACGCCCGTCCCGTCGTCGCGCCCGCGCCCGTCGGCGCGCGGCGCGGGAAATCGGATGTAAAAAAATTCACGCCGTCCCGTCCGCGGCGCGCGCGTCGACGCGCCCCCCCGCCCGCGCGCGCGCGCGTCGGCGAGTCCAACCGGCGTTTCCTCGCGCGCGCGTTAGGTTTCACGTCCCGCACACCGCGTCGCCGCGCGCGAGGGGCGGATGGGGAAGACGACGCCCGAAACCCGCCGCGCGCCGTTTATTCTCATCACCGGCGTCCCCGGAAGCGGGAAGACGACGCTCGCGGACGCGCTGGCGGCGCGCATCGACGCCCGGCGGCTCGATGTCGGGGCGCTGTGCGCGGCGGAGGGATTTCACGGCGCGTACGTCGAGGCGATGGACACGCACGAGCTCAGAGAGGACGCCCTGCTCGATCGCATGGAGGAGGTCTTGTGCGAGCGCGAAGCGCATGGGGAGGCGTGCGTGGTGGATTATCATTCGTGTGAGTTGTTCCCAGAGCGATGGTTTGATTTAGTCGTCGCGTTGACGTTGGTGGAGCACACGAGCGAGCTGTACGAACGGTTGGAGGCGAGAGGGTACGGAGAGAAGAAGATTCGAGAGAACGTGGAGTGTGATATTTTTCAAGTCGTCGTGGAGGAGGCGAAGGATTCGTACGAGACGGTTTGGGTGCGGTCGAACGCGACGCTGGACGACATGGAGAACACGGTTGAGGAGATCGCGCGGTGGGTCGAATCGCGCACATAGAGCGCGCGAGCGCGTGTAAAAACGTGAGTATATATGTTTCACCGCGTCCATAGGCGCGTTGGTCGAGCGAATCGTGGCGTAGAGTTACAGCGCGGCTAATCCGGCACGCGGACGCGAAACGGCGCGACGAGCGCCTCGGGCGCGTCCTTCTCGACGGGCTCCGCCTTGAACGTGCCCACCGAGCGCCATTCGCGTCGAATAAAGAATCTGCGTTGGTTCACGAGCAGTCGTCCTTTGCTCGAGCTCACGCGATCGCCCCAGGCGAGCGTCTTGAAGTAGAGCTTTTCGTCCTCGAAACCGATGTCGCCTCGAGACCACTTCGTCATGGTGAGATTGAAACGAAGCGTATCGCCGTCCACGCTCCACGTCCCCGCGCCGAGGGTGGTCGGCGTGAACGCCCCAGTCACTATCGGTTCGACCACGCCGTTCGGTTTAAATTCGATCGCCACCGGCACGAGAAGTCGCACGCCGCTCGCGCCCCAGTTTGGCGGCATCCACGTTCCGCGCTCGCGTCCGACGTCCGCCGAGATCCGCCACCTCGTCCCCACCAACGCCTCCGGCGTCGACAACGCGTCCCGCGTCCCAAATCTCTTCGCCAAACTCTTCGACACGCGCTCCGACCGCGTCTGCGCGCGTCGAATCGCGTACGCCGCGCCTCCGATGACGCTCCACTGAAACGCCGCCGACCCGACGCGTCGTCCGTCCACCCCCCGCTTTAACCCAATCGTCACGCTCGGCGGTTCGGTGTACTCCACATTCACGCCCTCGTCGTCACCGTCCGCCGAGAGCGCGAGCGGGATCCCTCTCGACGCCCCATCGAACCGCCGCGGTTCTCGCGCGCGTTCGAGCGTCTCCGCCGTCTCGAAATCCTCCGCCCGAATCTCCCGCCGCACCACCGTCCGTCGATCCACCGCCTCCGCGCGCCCCGTCGTCGACGCGAGCACGAGCACGGCCGTCGCGACGCCCACCAGGCCCTCGCGCGCGCGCGTCCATCGTTCGTTCGCGCGCGACGGTCGCGCGATGGATGATTCCCTTCGACGCGTTCCCCCCGCGCGCGCGCGCGCGCGTCGCCCCCCCGACGCCCGCGCGCGCGCGCGCGTCACCGTCCGGGGCGTCGACATCGCCCGAGCGCGCGCGCGCGCGACGTCGAGCGCGCGCGGGGCGTGGATGTGTGACGTCACTCGCGCTCGCCCATGATGGCTTTTCCATCGCTCGCGCCCGCGCGCTCGGTCGCCCGCGCGCGCGCTTGGGCGCCGAGCGCGACGCCGAGGCGCGGCATCGACGCCCGCGCCCGGGTCGGGGCGTCGCGCGCGCGCGCGAGGGCGTCGAACGACCTCATCAGTGGTGCATCGTTCGATGACGTCGTGCTGCGCACGTGGGAGTCGCGCGCGGCCTTCTTCTGGCCGCGGTTCGCCCTGGAGTGCGCCCTCGTGGTCGCCCTCGCGGCAGCGCTGCCGTCGTCGATCGGAGACGCGGTGCGAGGGGTGGAGGATGGGACGCGGACGCTGGGAACGAACGCGGCGGCGCTCGCGGCGTGCGCGCTCGCGGCGAACGCGGAACGGAACAAACGAACGAAAGATTTGAAGCGGTTGGCCAAGGAGCTGGCGTTGCAGAGGATGGTGGTGATTCAGAGGAATAGATTGTTCGAGGAGACGACTTTTACGTTGGGCGAGTTGAGGAACGTCGCGCGGGTGGCGGTGGTGTACGGAGACGCGGAAAAGGTTGAGCGGGATTTGATGCGCGCGACGCCGTACAGGCGCAGGTTGGAGCAGTCGCGGATCTTGGTCGTTCCCGTGGTCGAGCGCGGGGAGTCCGGCGGGGGTGGCGGGGCGGTCGCGGACGTCGGACCGGGACGGTGGGAGTTGCTCAAGGATGTCGTCGAGGCGTACCCGGGAGCCGGAGCGGGGAGGTGGCTCGCGTGGCCGACGAAGAACGACGATTGGAGTGAATACTTTCGCGAGCTCATCAAGAGCGAGGATGTGGCGAGAGGGGGGTATTTGACGATCAGTACGACGGGGTTGATTCGAGGAAGCGGCGTCGGATCGCCGGATTGGAGCGTCCTGTTGTCCACCTTTCCGCGGAATCGACCGGGTAACAAAGACGACGAAGAGGCGGAAAAGGCGTGGAAGCGAGCGACTCTGGATTCATCCGAGTCGCTCGAGACGAGAGGGACGGGCGCGGAGATCGCTCGAGCCGGCGGACGCGGCGCGGTTTCGCAGACGATACCGCGCGACGATCCCTCTCTCAGCCCAATCGTGGAACTTCACGAGAAATTCTACAGATCTCTCGGCACGGGCGACGACACGGGTATGGCAGAAGTTTGGAGTAGCGCAAAGTCGAGTCGTTCGAGCGCTCTGAGCCCACTCGTGGAGAAAGGCGCGCGTCTCGATGGGTGGGACGTCGTACTGCAGCCTGACCGACGACCTCAAGGAATGAGAATAGATGATCTCGACATCACCATAGAAAAGGGTGTCGCAACACTCACCGGTCTTGAGACGGTAGCTAACGGGGCTACTTTGTTGTGTACTCAAACCTTTGAGCGTGACGATAACGCGGAGTGGATGATGACGAGCCACACGACGATTCCGTACGGTGCAGATACCGTCGCGAAAATTGTCTTACGCTGCGACGCAAACGGCTGCATCGCGGTGCCCGCGCGCGCTGTCGCTTCAGACAAATAGAATGAATATTTATGCATTGCGTATTGCGTATTGCGTATTGTAACAATTACGTGCGTGCGCACGTCGTGATGGTGAGTGGAGACGGAGCTTTGTGCAGCTCTACGTCTTCCGGACGTCTCGCGAAACACATCAGTAATATTCGTCCGACGAATATCCCGCGTACCGAGCATCGGCGTCATCGCGTCCTCCGGGTTCGATACCAGCATCGAGACGGTTCGCGATGTCCATCTCGAGCGACCCGACGTAATCATGGTAATCCGATTCGTTCACGTGATTCGTCAACTTGAGACCGACAAATTTTTCGCCCAATGTCGTCTCGGCGCGACAGACTTGCAGGTGTTTCTCCACCTTGACGCCGTGTCCGTTTTCTATGACCGACTTGAACTTGGTATTAAGCGTGCTCCACACCGGTAAAACGGCGCCACAAATAAGCAAGGTGTTCTCATGTCTCATCCCGTCATTGCATCCGTGGACTCTTCGTTGCGGACACCCCTTGCCGTGAACGCAGTGTTTCGAGAAGAACTCGTACCAGAAATGCCAAAGTTCGCGCACACGAAGCATGCCCAAAACGTCTGTGGGCTCGATGAGTGTGTAGTTACTTTTGATATGCTCGAGAGACATCTTGGATACGTTCAGCTTGTTTGGACGCGTCAACAACATCTGCGGGTTTCGAATACTGAACAACGTCTCCTCACCGAAATTCCGAACTTCTTTCGCAAACATGACGAACGGGCGATTCGTTTTCGCGGCAGTACGGTTTGTCGCGATGTAGAAACCAGCAATCCCGCGTTGTCTCGACCCCGCAAACACGTTCGCTCGAGTATCATCGAATTCGCGCTTAAGCGCACATGCGTGGCGAAACGAAACGCCGTCGTCATTTTGAACCAGGCGCACGCGCGTTTCCGCTCCAGACATTTCGCACTTGTGGATTACGCGGTTATGCTCGACCTTTGCGACGACGCTTTGACCGGTGATATCGATCACTCCACGATCATACGTGCCATTTTGCTTGTACTCCTTGACGATTCCTTCAAAGGTTTGAGTGAAATAATCAAACACCACCTTTTGCGCGTTGACAGGCATTCCGAGGAGTCGGTTGAGGAACAACGACGTCTTCAATTTTGTGTCGTACTGTTTGGCCATCGTGAAATTTCCATAATCATCGTAATCGGCGATTCCAACATTTCGGAACTCTTCTTTGATGATGTTAATGGCGGCGGCCAACTCAGCGCCTTCAAACTTCACCGTCGGCATGGGATCGCTTCGGTCCAAGATGTCCGTGATCACGCGCTTCATGGCTTTCGAGCCATACTGATTGTCGATATCGAACGCCTGCAAACCTTCACCCGCGCCTAGCGCGTTGCGGTCACCCTTGAGTAAAGCCCCGAGTGAAAGAAGGCGTTTTGCAGCGCTCGATGCGAAGCGACGTTCGCCACCGCAGGGCGTCATAAGAATGCGGTAGAGCGGTGCGCTCGATTGATTCGAGCGATGTGATCGACCGAACTGCTGGATCGCTTTATCGGCGCTCCATGGCAGTTCAAGCGTCATGTGACACCGTCTTCGTTGATTTTCCACTCGCTTATCAGCCTGAAGAGAGATGCCAGTGCTCGCTGCGTCAGAAATTATCGCAATCAACTTCTCGCCATTCTGGAATTTCATCTTCTCCGTGATGTTCAGCAACTTTGCATTCGTTATGTCATCGTCCCTGCGCTTCTTCGTCCTAACCTTTCCGTCCTGGTCTCGTACTTGATGCAGCTTTCTCCCAGTCATTTCCGCGACGTGCGCGGGTCCTCCGCAAAGTGTGATGAGATTATCGAGCGGATTCGGCGGAAGTTGAAGCGCATCAACCGCCCTTAGCATGAGCTCTTTGATATGAACGAGATGCGGATTTTCCACGTCGTCGTCAGGATTATCATCTACGTCATCATTGCCATCGTCACCAGATGACATGTTATTATCAGCTTCGCCGTTCTCACTCGAGTCATCGTAGAATTGTGCGCGAGCAACATGTCTAGGAACGGCAGCTCGAGGAGCTCGAGGAGCCACTGCGCGAGGAACTCCCTCGGCCTTTACGCCCAGAGGGGCAGCTCTCACGGCTGGAGCGAAACGGCGCAGACGTTCGAGCGCATCGACCGCATTGACAACAGGTTTTGGCGGATCTCTGGCGGCGACCGGTCTCGCAGGAACTGGAATGCCAGACGCGTTGCCCGCAGCAGCCGCATTTCCAGCTTGTCCCGCGGGCGCTGGAACACCATTTTCGCCGTCAATAATCATGCGATTTCGCTCGTACTCTTCGCGGCGTTTCTGCACACTTCGGGCGTAGTCGTTGTTGACGTCGCTATCATCATCATCATCATCACTATCATCCGAGAGCGTAAGATCCAATACTTCTGGACGATCTTCGACCTTTCGCCTAGTGTTTGACGAATCTGGCACTTGTGAACTCGGCGACTCTCGTTTCGATCCTGAATTCGAAGGCGAATTACGTCGCGCGGGCTGTTCGTTGTCGATGATACAATCGCGCGCTCGAGGCGCAATCTGAGGCACACTTTCATCACTTACGATGCGCGCAACCGCAACATCGACACGCTGACGGTTCCTCTCTGCCAAGCGACGCTCCTCGTCAAGTCTGGTCTGCCGTCTTTTCTCTTCGTTGGCTCGATTGACTTCCTCCATTCGCTCGAGTTCAGCAACCTGAGCTTCGCCGACACCTCGATACGCACGTATCTCGATATCTTCATCAGTCAGATCGAGAAAATTTCCAACGCGCTTTGCCGCTTCGAGTCGCTCAGCGAGCACCTCATCAAGACTCTTCTCCGCCGCGAGCTCAATATCGCTATCCGAAGACGCGCCGTCGCCGTTCGCGTTGTCCGCCACAGCGCGAGCGTTCACGCGGGCGGCGTCGCGTCCCAAGACCTCAAGAATGGTCTCTTGCGAGCACCAGGTGTTCACGACACGCACGATGTCTGCCAACACAGTGTCCCAAAGTCGACGCCCTTCCGCAGACGCCCTGCACGAGTTCGTCGGAAAGTTTGATTTTAAGAAGTTTGACAGCATTTCAGCCGGAGAGCTCATGAAGTCGTCCAACCCTTCTTCGTCATCGGAACTAACTCGAGCGAGACTGGCCTCGCCCGTGCTCTGGAGTCCGATGACGACGGCGAGATCTTCGTGCAACACGGCTTTTCTAGCAAGCTCAGCCAAACGCGGCACTTTACAGCATAGTAACATCTGTCGAAAGAATCGTTGGTGGGTCGCCCAAAACAAGCGATTCAACGCAGCCATGGATTTGGAGTTGTCATCGCACCATTTCTTCGACCCGTGACCGCGCAGTTTAGCGCACGCCGTGAAAATCTTCTTCATCATCGTCCAAAACTGAGTACTGCGATCGTACATCAGTTTCAAGTCGTCACTGAGAGGACAGTTCACGAGCTCAAACTCAGCTTTTTCGTACGACAGCGTGCGACAGAGGTAGCTTCCCGTCGCCTTGAGACCGCACGCGAACATCTCCAGCGCACCCAGACCCGCTTGATCGAGCTTGGTCAACATATCTTGCATGTCTCTCCATCCGAAGTGCCCGAGGCGCGTCATGTACGCCAAATTTCTCGGTTCGCTCGCGCCGGTGGCGGAGCAGTACAGAACACGCGCATCTGGGATCGCGTACTGCAGCGCCACCACGGCCACCGCTGTTTTCGTCGGTTTACCGTTTGTGGTGTACAAATTTTTCGCCTTGTGACACTCGTCAAAGATGATGAGCGGTCCGTACGCGTCCTCCTTGAGCCAGTTCACAAACTGCTCCAAACGACTCCCCGTGCTAATCATGGCGAGTAAACCTTCGTCGTTCTTCGTCGTCGCGTTCGTCACGCTGGGCGAGCCCTGCTGAAGCAGCGCGTACGTGCTGAACACGACGCCCGCGTCGATGGTATCCTCCAGCGCGTTTCGCGGCACCCCGCTCGTGCCCCTCGGCACGACGTCGATCTCCGGTTCCACCTTCAAATCTTTCAGATCTCGATCGGCGTCGTACTTCAAATCCGCGCTCGTGGACACCCAGAGCACCCTGCGACCTCCCCGACGCCTGTGTTCGTACACCAGTCCCGCGATTTGCCGTCCCTTCCCCACGCCCGCGCCGTCGCCCAAAAAAAACCCCGCTCGCTCCCCCCGCGCACCCGGCAATCGCTGTTCGTATCGCATGCACGCGTACAACACGCTCTCCATCTGCAGCGCGCTCAATCCCCCCTTGGCGCACACGTCACCAATCGCGTGCGCGTACCGCGGCTCGGGCGGTCGCACCTTTGCCAGCGTTCCCGTCTCCACCACCGGGTCCGGATGCGGTCCACCCTCCACCCCCCCGTGCGTGGGCGCGTACTGTTCGTACACCACCTCACGCGCGTCGTCCTCCCCGCTCGTCTCCGCGTCGTTCGGCGCCGGCGCGTCTCTTCCGTCCACGCGTCCATCGCGTTTGAATTCAAACATCATCGCATCCGCGCCCTCGCGTTTCGCCATCGCGCGCGCGCCGGAACCCCCCCCGTGCGCGCGCGTGAACCCCCACCGTCGCCCGCCCCCGTCGCCCGCGCGTCGTCGCGCGCGCGCGCCGAGCGGTGGCGTCGTCTACAAACTGTCCCGTCGACGCGACCGGTGCCCGAAACGTCACCCATCGACGCCCCGCATGCGCGCCGAGCCCGCGCGCGCGCTCGCGGCGTGCGCGATGGATGGAATAATATTCTCTCTCGCCCTGCGCGCGTCACCGGGGGCGTTCGCGGACGCGTGGACGCCGTGCGCGGGGATGAGCGCGTTCGCCGTCGCGTCCGCGATGGCGATGGAACACGGCGCGCGCGCGTTCGATCCACGCTCGACGGCGCATCGCGCGGCGTGGCGCGAGATGACGATGGCGTACGCGCGCGTCTTCGTGACGTGGTTCGCGTGCGCGTGCGCGTGCGCGTGCGCGGCGACGCGGGCGTGGCGAGGGACGGCGACGATGAGCGCGGTGGGCGCGAGCGCGACGCTCGACGCGCTGGGAACGACGGGTGAGCGCGAACGCGCGGTCGGACGCGCGCGACGCATCGTGATCGATGGTATGTGTCGCTCGGGGGGGGACGTGCGCGCGCGGGGGGGGGCGTGGGGGGCGTGCATCGGCGCGTGGGCGGGCGCGGCGACGATACCGCTCGATTGGGAACGTCCGTGGCAGCGGTGGCCGGTGAGCGTCGTGCGAGGGATTTGCGCGGGGAAGCTCGCGGGGGTGTGCGCGGCCGCGATGTACATCGTCGCCGCCGAAATCTCGGGGTACGATCCGCGTGGGGACGTCGTAGAGACGAAGAAGACGAAGCGTCGGACGTCTCGTCGACGCGCGGAGTGAAACGCGCTGCTAGTAAGATTATGTATTTTAAACGTCGCTACGGGCTACGGTATCTAAGTTCGAACGCACGGATTCGAACGTTGGGTCTGTCTCGCGCTCAGTCGTTCGGTCGAAATCCGTAATTCGCCCTCGCCGCTCGATCGAGCGAGACGTCGCGAGACAACAACGCCTTCAACCGCTCCACCTCTCGCGCGTCGCCAACCTTGTGCGCGATCTGAAGCTTGTGCCGGAGCAACTCTTGCTCGCGCATATTATCCACGTCACTTCCTTGACCTCTCTCCGCGCGCATGCGCTCCAGGACCTCCTTCTGCCTCGCCTCCTCCGCGCGCTTGCGTTCGTTCGCCAGCTCTCGCCTTCGCTCCTCCTCGTCGTTCCCGAACATCACGCGCTCCTCCTTCGACCTCGATCTCGACCTCGATCGTCGATCTCGCTTCTCTCGTTTCTCTCGTTTCTCTTTCTTCTCCTTTTTCTCCCTCTTTCCCTTCCCATCGCGCGACGTCGACCTCGACCGCCGCGCGCGCTCGCGCTTGCGTCTTCGCCCCTCGTCCCGCGCGTCCGCGTCCTCATCTCTCCGCGATCGTCGCCCCTCCCCGCGCGCGTCGTCGCGGAAGAAATCATTCAAAGCGTCCTTGGCGAGCTCGACCGAGCCTCCGTGCGCGTCCAGCGCGAGCTCGAGCGTTTTCTCGACGGCTCGAGGGAAGCACTCTCTTAAATGCGCCGCCGCCGCGATCCTCTGACGCTCGGCGTGTTGGACCGTCATCGACGGCCCGCGGGCGTCGTTAGGATCGCCCTCTCTGGTGAACATGTCGAGCGGCGCGCGGTGGAGTGCGGGAGGATGTCGAGGCGGCGCGGTCGAGCGCGCCGGCGAAGAGGCGTCAGAGGCGAGACGAAGAACGCTGCGTTTGTCACTATCAATCGACGTCGAATAGGAGCTTGAACATCTCGTACGTGTAGTACCCGAGCGCGGCGGAGGGTAAGACCTGGATGCAACTCGGACCGAGGCCGGCGTAGAGGGATTTCCATCCCGTCGCGCTCGCGACGGTGCGAAACGAAGTGACGACGCTCATGAGCGCCTTTCGTCCTATGACCAGATCGGTGGTCGAACGCCCGCTTTGCATCTGCATGCGACGACGAACGACCTCGAATGGGTACGTCGTCGCCTCGGAGGCGATCCCAGCGATGGCGCCGTAGAGCATCATGTTCTTTTGCTCGATGGTTCGCACCTCGGTGTCGTCGTCGCGTTTCCCACCCTTTTGTCTCTTCTTCTGCTCGGCGAGCTCGGCGTTGAGCTGGGCCAGTCGACGATTCTTTAAGCCGTCGTAAATGCTATAGTACACCGCGGCGTTGGGAACCATGGAGACGAGCGCGGGGGTGATGCCGCGGTAAAACGTGCTCGTGCCCTCTTGACGGTACATGGTGCGCACGCACGCGAGGAAAGATCCATACTTTTCCTTCCCACCCGTCGTGAGCAACCGCGTGCGAATGACATCCATGGGAAAACACGTGACGACCGCCGTCATCCCGGCCCCGGCGCCGGCGCATAACAATCCGATCCTTCTCCCGTCGCTCCCCGGCGGGAAGGAGCGAATGACAAACTCTCGATACGTGTCAAACGCACAAAAGTTGATAGCCTTGAACGGCGCCGTCCGCGCAATGTTCAGCACGTTCCCCTTCCAAAGTCCCAGCGCCCCTTCCTTGCGCATGATCGCCCGCACCAGCTCCTCGGGCTTGAGCTTGCTCCCGTTTAACAAATATTCAATCTTCACCCGTTCCAGCGGCGCGAGTATCGTGCGCACGACCACCGTGGCGCACGTCCCGCTCGCCAAGCGCTTCACCGCTTCCTCTTGCCTCGTATTCGTCTTCCGCTCCCCCCTGCGCGCGATCAGCTTGGCCGCGACGACGCGTTCGCTCGGCGCGCGCGTCGTCGCCTCGCGCGTCGCGCCCCGCCCCGCCCCCGCGCGCGCCAAGAACCCCTTGCGCCAACGCCGACGCGTCCCCGCACCACCCACCCCACCGTGTACGTTCCCACGCACCGTCTCGACCGCTCCCGCGCCTCGATCGTCCGCCGCGGCCGCGTCCGCGCCTCGACCCGACCCGACGCCCGTTCGCCCCCGCACCGCGCGCGACCGCTGACGCGACGCCCACACCGTCCCGCGATCGCGCGCGCGGTCGACGCCCTCGCGCGGGCCCATCGCCCTCGCGCGCGCGCGCCCCCGAGGGCGCGGCGGTGGACGTCGACGCGATCGGCGCCGCGCACTGGCGACGGCGACGATGCGTCGCGTGGAAAAGTACCCGTACTTTTTACGACACGTCTGGGTGAGACAGACATTGCTGAACCCTATCCGCAGACAGATCGCATAAGGTCAAGGTCCAATCGGACTCGGCCACGTATGGAAAGACTCGCCCAACTGGGACGAACTTCCTCCGCTCCTTTCTGCAGATATTGGACTCCTGTTTGAGTACGTGACGGAGACGATTGAACATTTTGGCGAGGACAGCCGCCGGAAAGTACCGGTACTTTTTCCAACACGTCAGGGTGAGAAAGC